TCCGTTCTTTCCCTGGGTGTCTGTCCCTCCCCTGCCCTGGGGTCTGTCCCTGCTTTGCCCTGGGGTCTGCCCCTGCCCTGGGGTCTGTCCCTGCCCTGGGGTCTGTCCCTGCCCTGGGGTCTGTCCCTGCTCTGCCCTGGGGTCTGTCCCTGCCCTGGGGTCTGTCCCTGCCCTGCACCCCCTGTGTCAGCCCAGCCCAAGGGTTACTTGCAGTTTTCTTTTCATTTAACAAAGCTTTTGTACAACTATGTAATACAGGCCTAAAAAATGAAAATTTCCACAAATCTATGTCTGTGTTTGTATCTGATGCCCACAGGTCCTTGTGCACACATAGACCTGCTCTGTGTCTGCACAGCATGGAGATGTAGGTCCAAAGGCTGATGCCAGCACCAGCTACAGGCTCCTCAAGGACAAAATCCAAGGATCTAAATCCTGCCAGGCACAGAGGAAGAATCCCAGACTCGTTTGGGTGGGAAAGGACCTCAAATCCCACCCAGTGCCCCCCCTGCATGGGCAGGGACACCTCCCGTACAACTATGTAATACAGGCCTAAAAAATGAAAATTTCCACAAATCTATGTCTGTGTTTGTATCTGATGCCCACAGGTCCTTGTGCACACATAGACCTGCTCTGTGTCTGCACAGCATGGAGATGTAGGTCCAAAGGCTGATGCCAGCACCAGCTACAGGCTCCTCAAGGACAAAATCCAAGGATCTAAATCCTGCCAGGCACAGAGGAAGAATCCCAGACTCGTTTGGGTGGGAAAGGACCTCAAATCCCACCCAGTGCCCCCCCTGCATGGGCAGGGACACCTCCCAGCAGCCCAGGCTGCTCCAAGCCCCATCCAACCTGCCCTTCAACACCCCCAGGGATGGGGCAGCCACAGCTTCCCTGGGCAACCTGGGCCAGGCTCTCCCCACCCTCCCAAGCCCAATTCCCTGGGATTTCCTGGTGATTTGGAAGGTCCTGCCAGCTGCTCCTGAATGTGACATCCAGCTCTGAGCAGGGAAGGACAGGCAGCCCTTCCTCAGCCCCCTCCTCCTCATGCACAAACATGTGAGGGACCAAAGGCAAACAGAAGCAGCCAGAAAGGCTTTCCCACCAGGAAACTGTGCTTGACCAACATGGTTGTTTTCTGTGTCAAAACCACTTCTTCTGTGGCCCAGGGGGGCAGTGGATGTGACACAACGACCCCCCAGCAGTCTCATCAGGGAAGTGAGGAGCTGTGGCTCAGATGCATGGACATCCAGCAGGGCTGAGAACTGACTGGATCACTGCAGGATAAGGAAAGGACTGATGACCAGGCCACAAGCAGAGTGCTCTGGAGGCCAGTCCTGGGGCCCATCCTGCTCAACACCCTCAGCAACTGCCCAGATGACCCCGAGGACACCCTTGGTAAAAGTGCAGATGATCCTAACCTGGGGGGAGTGACTGACATGGTGAAATGCAGAGCTCTGAAACAAGGGGGGGGTGACAAATCTGAGGACCAGGCTAACAGAAACCTCATGAAATTCAGGGGTGGACCCACCCACCACCACTGGTCCAGGCTCAGGAGACACTTGCCCAGGCAGCAGCTCAGTGAGGGGGCTGAGGATGGGTGGCCTGAGCAGGAGTCCAGAGCTCATTCACACAAAGACCACAGGGAGCTGCAGGACCAGCAGCCTGGCCAGCAGATCCAGGGACCTGATTGTCCCTTTTCCTCAGCACTGGGGAGGTTGCACTTGGAATATTCTGTTCAGTTTTTGGCCATGGAGTTCAAGAGATGGGGAGAAACTGGAGGGTTCCCTCTGCCCTGAGCAGCAGAAGACCTGGGCATTTTCTGTCCCTTCACACTCCTGGCACAGCCCATGTCAACCAACACAACTGGTTGGTCTGAACCCCCCTCATCACTGACAGGCAAGGCTGGTCACTAGCAGGAAGGGTGACCTTAACTTCTTCCTGGTGAGGAACCCATGGTCTTTCAGTAGAAGATCTGATGATACAAAATAACTCAGCTTGATCGGGTCTTTGTTTTGGTGTAAGAATCTGCAAAACAGCATCTTTTGGTTGTGGGATCAGCAGAGGACAAAGATGCTGAGCAGTTACTGCTGGAGTTTCACCTGGGCTGCTCTTCTGGAAATGTGGGCAGATGCACATTTTGGAGGACTTGGGGCTTTTGCTTGGTCTGTGAATGGAGCAGTGGGCAGGACCACCAGCAGGGACACCCAGAGGTGCCCCCTGGGCCACAGAGGGTCAAAACTGGAAACGAAGCGACTGAAATGATGAAGTGAAGGAAGGGGTCATGAGGAAATGAAACACAAAGACCATGAGAAAGATCATGGGGAAAATGCTGGAGGATTGCAAGGCCAATGCAAGTGACTTGGCTGGACCTCCTGGTGGAGCAGAAGCTGCCAATGTTCTGCCCAGGTGGAGGTTCCCAACACAGGAGGGACAAGGAGCTGTTGGGAGAGTCCAGAGGAGGCCCCGGAGATGCTGGGAGGGCTGGAGCAGCTCTGGAGCCAGGCTGGGAGAGTTGGGGTGTTGAGCCTGGAGAAGAGAAGGCTCCAGGGAGACCTGAGAGCAGCTCCCAGGGCCTGAAGGGGCTCCAGGAGAGCTGGGGAGGGGCTTGGGACAAGGGCAGGGAGGGATGGGAGCAGGGGGAAAGGTTTCCAGCTGGCAGAGGGAGCTGGAGCTGAGATGGGAGGGAGAAATTCTGGGCTGTGAGGGTGGGGAGAGCCTGGCCCAGGTTGCCCAGGGAAGCTGTGGCTGCCCCATCCCTGGGGGTATTGGAGGGCAGGTTGGATGGGGCTTTGAGCAGCCTGGGCTGCTGGGAGGTGTCCCTGCCCATGCAGGGGTGGGACTGGGTGGGCTTTGAGGTCCCTTTCAACCCAAGCCATTCCATGATTCCATGCTTGATCAGATTCCCACCCAAAAGCCACCACAGCACACAGGGGCTGAGTCAACACAAAAGCAGGAGCTCTGGCACTAGTGACCACTCCACAGAATCACAGAATAATTCAGGTTGGAAAAGAGCTTTAAGATCCTGGAGTCCAACTGTAAACATGGTTTGCTGGGATTAAAAAATGAACCTGTTCACTTCAACATGAAGTGAAGGATTAAGTGTCAAGAGCTCCTGAGAGAGAGGATTTGAAGCAGACAAAGAAGAGCAGAGAAAGCAACACAAGCCCAGAAGGTGATGAAGAAGCAGCATCACCTCTCCATGGAAGGAGAGCAAGGGCAGATGTTCCAGTCTGTTGTGGCACTTCAGAGCTGCAAAGACCTGGCAGCTGGGTCCTGGGCTGGGGAAGGACCTCAGCAGAGGCTGAGGGCAAAGATTTAAACTGGCTTCTCCTGCCGCTGGAGGTTCTGCTGGTAGGTGGCACCGCAGGGCTGAGCTCCCTCCTCAGCCCCAGGCTCCCTCTGCCACAGCTCAGAGCCAGAACACAACCCAGGGAGGAGCAGATGCTGCTGTCACCTCCAGCAGGGATGGGCTGTGGTGGTGGTGTTGGGTCAGAGGTTGGACTCGATGAGCTCAGGGGTCTTTTCCAGCCTCAGTGATTCTGTGATTCTGTGCAGGGGGGTGATGGGCGGGAGCTGCGCTGGGTGAGCAAGGGCTCCTCACCCCGGTCCTCACGGGGCAGGGGAGCAAGGGCAGCTGCAGGAACCCCAACCACCTGGCTGGGCAGGGGCTGAGGCAGGGCTGGCACTACTGGGCTGGCACTGGGCACTGCTGGGAGGAGGTGGGCAGGGAAGCCCCAGGGCTGCGGGGCCCGGGCTGAGCGGGACGGGCTCAGCTCAGCCCTCCTGCCCCACGGGGCAAATGTCTCCCTTGGGAACAGACTCTGGGACCCCTTCAGGGCTCAGGCACAGGAACAGGCACCTTGGCTGAGTGACTCACCAACACTTCCATTACTTCCCAGCTGCTATTGCAGCAGCCCCTTTCCAGCTCCCAGGGATGCAGACCCAACCCATCCACACCCTGCCCTCTTGGCACCGACTTCAAACACCATTTCCTCCTGCAAGAACCACAGTCACATCTCCTGCCCTGTCCTCCTGGAGCAAGGAGACTCCTGTAAACACCAACACTTCCCTGCTCTCACTTCCTTTCAGTCCCTCCTCCAAAGCACCCTCAGAGCATCCGATGCAGCAGGTGACACATCAGGACACTTGGTGTCAGCTCCCTGGCCACCAGTGCCAGCAGGGGAGGGCCCCATGTCCCCAGACACAGCTGCCACTGGGACCTTACAGCTCCCACTGCCACATTCTGACCTGCCACACACAGACCAGAGCAGAGGAACACCCAGCTGAGACCTGTCCCACAGGGATGGCACCTCCATGTCACCTCCCCTGTCTGGCTGCTGAGCCCACGAGCCCCTTGTCCACGTGTGATGCCTCCAGCCCTTGCTCTCCTTTCTTTTAAACTCAAGCAGGGCAATCCCATGGGCTGGGGGCTCTGGGCAGTGTAGCAGGTCACAGCCTCCAGCACCACCTTCTGAAGTTGAGGAAAGGGCCAAAGGGGAGACACAAGAGCAGGGCCCTACATCTCTGCTCAGTCCAGTTCTTCTCTGTAGAACACAAAACTTGCACCACATCGGGCAAAACTGTAATAAATATCAGTCCAAACCAATCCTGATTGATGCCCAGAGAGAGCACCAAACTCTTCTTTCCTCCAACCTCCCTTTCCCTGTAAATGCCACCAGCAGAAGGAACCTGTCAACTCCTTCTCTAGCACCGAGAGCACTTCCCTGCATCCATCCTTGCACCTGAGGAACAGCTTTTCATCCTGACACCCAGGCAGCAGGCGTTGTTGTTTCAGCAACACCAGTTGCCCAGCTCTCAGAACACCTTCTAACAGCAAACCCTCCCGTGCCAGGGCCGGGCTCACCTCGATCAGGAAGTCTCCCGTGCGCAGCCCTGCCCTCCAGGCAACACCTTCCACATCCACCGATTCCAGGTACTGGAGGGCTGGGAAGGCTGGGGTTGGGGTGAACTCCTCGATTGGGGTTTCAGCTGCAAAACACAAAGAAGGAGAGGGAATGAGGCAGTGTGGCAGGAAGGAAGCAGAAGGACAAGGAGCTCAGGAAAACCTGCGTTGGCTCGGGAAGAGCACGTATGCAAGGTCCAGTGTGACTGCAAAGCAGGAACCAGAGCTGATGCTCCATGTCCACAGTATTCACCAGCTCAGACCCCAGAGCCCCCCAGGCACGTGTAGCTCCCAGAGTCCAGTTAGGGACCCCCAAGATGCCTAAAGCCTCATCCACCTCCCAGTATCACAAACAAAAAGAGAACAGCTCTGAACGATGCCAGGAGGGGAGAATCTCCCTCCTGCGTCAGCAGCTCCAGGGCTCTGCCAGAGCCAGCAGAGGAAACACCACGTGCACCAGCCACCCATGGCTCTGCAGACATGACCCCAGCTGCCAGCACCTGGGAGCAGTGCCCCTCTCATGCCAGTCCTACAGGAGGACAGGATCCCTGCCCTGCTCCTGCTGGGCACCCCAGTGCTGACACAAGCCAGGCTGCTGGAGGCCCCCTTGGCACACGCCAATCATCTCCATCCACTGTCAACCAGCACCCCCAGCTCCTTTTCCTCTGGGCACTTCCCGGCCTCTTCCCCAAGCCTGGGGTGCTGCCTGGGGCTGCTGTGGCTCCTGTGCAGGACCCAGCACTGAGCCTGGTGGAGCCAGAGGCCTCCGTGGCTGATGGTGCCTGAACAAACCGCTCACCCCGCGACACGGAACGTCAGGAGCCCCACGATGGCCTCGGCTGGTCTCGTGCCAGCCCAGAGCCCAGGGCAGGTCCCCGGGGTCCTGCCCTCAGCTGGGGCAGGCCTGAGCCTCCTGCACTTTTGTCAGCCACACAGACCATGTGTTACAGGCCTGGGTAAACCCTCCCTCCCTCCACGCCTGTTACCAAGACAATGCATTTTTTAAGAGCCGTGTCGAAGCCCTAACGAAGCAGCGATTGAGCAGCAGAGTCAGCAGCTGATCTTGTGCTTACATCTCCTTTGATGTCAGGTCACTCCAGTGGAAAGTGACCTACATTCCCTGCCATTTGCATAAACTGTATAGACACTGATTTTATAGAGATAAAAATATTTCCATCATTTACCACACGGCTCCTTCAGCATTTTAATCTATGATTTTTATGCAAGATTTCTTCTGCTAAATCAGATGGCTATTGACTGGGACCAGGAGAAGACAAAGTTTGCCTGACAAGATGTTAATATGCTGAATGATCTTAGATGTTTTTATCAGCATTTTTCCATGACTTCTTCCTTTGATGGAAGGGAGCTCAAGTGCCAAGCAGTTGACATCCTGCCTATTTTTAGAGATGTCAGGGTAACATTTGATTTCTCCAAATCCTTCAGGACTTCCCCAGTGCTACATCCCACTCTTTGGACTGGTGTTGACCAGCAAGCTCTTCCAACAGTCTGACCTCCAAAGAACCACCAGCCTGACCCTGCTGCAGACCAGCTGCAGAACAAGGTGCCAAGAACTTGGGCCAGACCCTGGCCCAGCAGGAAAACCTTCTGTGCTGCCTGAACCTCTGAAATGAGAAAAGGGGATACCCAGGCTCTCTGTCAAGTAAATCACATATATAATGGCAATGAGACATGGTCTCTGCAGCAGATCAGCCCTGTGCTCCTTTGGTCTCTGCAGCAGATCAGCCCTGTGCTCCACCAAAGGGACCAGCAGCACAATTAAGCCCTGAGAAGGCTAAGTGGAAGTTCTGATCTTTGGGGAGGACAGAGGTGGACAGATGACAATGCAATTGGTCTCCTAGCCTGGAGAAGGAGCCTGACATGAACAAAGCACCTCATCAGGGTGGCTCCAGACCCCTGTCCCATCAGGCTCCCCCACCACAATCCCACCATTCCCAGGGGGGAAGCACTGCCCTGTGTGTCCCACCACGGGGCTGGGGCAGCCCATGGACAGCAGGAAATGCTGCAGCACAGCTCAGGGAGGAGGCACCCGAGGGACAGCTCATGGATGCACTTTTCTTTCTGGGAACCAAAAATACAGGCTGGTGGGGAACACAGCTAAGATGAACCCAGGAAACGGGCCTTGCAGCTCCTTCTGTCACCTGCACCACCGGGACTCCAGGAATGCTGCTCTCCATGGGCTGGAACACACCCACAGCCCCTGCAAACCACCAGGGACTGTTTGCAAAGTGTCCCCAGTGCCTCAGGGATCCAGAAAACAAGGAAATGCCTCCCGAAGTCAGAACTCTCTGTAGGGAACAAACAGCAGCCATAATCTAACCCAGGAGGGGGAAGGAGGCAGCCCAAGGGAGCATCCAGAGGGAGCAGCCAGCCCTGCCCTGCTGCCCAGTCCCAGCACTTGGCCAGAGGGAGCCAGGAAGAAGATCCAGTAAGAAAGTGAAGACAAAGTGAAGCAGCAGGTTCTGTGCAGGGTCCCTGCTGGGGGGTCTGCAGGGGCTGCAATGGGCACGGGATGGAGGGAAGGAACAATGACAGCAGCTCCTGGGAGCCCCAAGGCCACGAGGACAGGAGGGAGCCCTGGGAGCACTGGCCCCAAACAGCCCTTGGGAGGAGGGACAGATGTCCAGGCTGGGGGCCCTGGAGCAACCTGGCACCAACATGGACCAACATGGCACCAAAATGACACCAACCTGGCACTGGGTCCATCCGTCCTGCTGACAGCCAGAGGGCAGGAGCAGCTGGACACGTGGCCATGGGCAGGAGGACAGACTTGGCTCTGACCTGGGCTGTGGGGACCAAGCAGGAACCCCAGGCAGCCCCAGCCACACCACCCAGTGCCTTCAGGAGCTGCCTCCCAGTTCCTGACACTCCTTCTTGCTGCCACAGTTTCCCCCCAAATGAACAATCTGCCTCCAGATACTCCTACCTCCCTCACCCCAGTTCTGCTACATCTCCATTCTGGTGTCTTCACTATCATTCCCCAGGTGATCTTGGCCTCACCTAGAACCACCAAGAGGTCACCCCTAAGGTCTCTGGTGTCCCTGACAGTGCTCTGTGCAGTCTGGCCACCTACAGCTTCACTCCCCCTTACACAATGTTCCTCCAACAGGGTCTGTGCCCTCATCAGGCCCCTCACTGCTGCCCTGTCCAGCCTCTCACATCATGTCCAGCCCTTCCCTCCCTCCTGGTCCTTGACCTTAACCTCAGCCTTGCCAGCAGCTCAGCCACTGGCCCACAGCCCCACCACCAACACTAGAAGTACCAACCAGTGGTCAGAGCTGGCTGTAGCCCAGTGATGCAGGGGGAGGACACCAACACTCCTTGCAGCACCTGGGAACCCCCCTGGGAAGGCTGGAAGCAGCAGAGCAGCCACCTCAAAGAGCAGCTTGGGACCAGACCCTCCAAAATACCACTTCAGAACAGAGCCTGTGGGGAAGCTTTGGGTCAGAAGTACCTAATTCAGTGACAATTCATCTGTAAGTGCCTACCCAGGAAGCAAATAAAATTTAAGGAGGTCCTCTTATCCAGCTGGCAAAGGCTAAACTAAATCAAAAGGTCTGGAATTAAATTACAGAAATTCTTGCTGCTAATGAGCTCACATTTCCTAACAAGGAGGTCAACTGCTCATTGCAAGAGCTCATGATCCAGATCTCAGGACCTCGTACCTCTGGAGGAGCTCCCAGGTTGACACCACAGCCCTGGTTGTGCAGTTTAAGCACAGTGGCCATTTCCCATGTTGCAAACCTGCTGTCCAGGCTGTCACACCAGGGCCACCAGTGTCACCCACGGCTGGTGGGACAGGCCCTGGAGAGCCAGAGCACCAGGACAGGACACCTGGGAACGTTTCAAAGCTGCACAAGAGGAGGCCTAGACTGGGCACCAGGAAGCATTTCCTTACCAAGAGGGTGGTGAAACCCTAGAACAGGCTTCCTGGAGAGGTGGTTGATGCCCAAGCCTGTCAGTGTTTCAGAGGCACCTGGACAACCCCCTGGATCACAGGCTGTGCCTTTTGGCCCTCAGGTGCCCAGGCAGCTGCACTAGATGATCACTGCAGGTCCCTTCCAGCTGAACCCAACTCTGTTCTTTGCAAACACTGCTCTTCTGCAACAGGTTGAGTTTATTACGAGCCCAGCTTAGCAGTGAAAAACATTACAAGTTAATTCAAGCAGTGCAAATTGTTAAGATCCCAGTGACTTCACTGGGAACCAACTCACAGAGTGAAAAATAGCACAGCCCCAGAGCTGCCTTGGTGCTCCATGACCCAGCACCCTGTGCTGGAGCACAGAACCCACCTGTGTGCTGGGCTGGCACCAGCAGGGTGACCAGCAGGGCCAGGGAGGGGATTGTCCCATCTGCTCTGCTCTGCTGAGACCCCCCTGCAGGGCTGGGAACAGCTCTGGGGTCCCCAACACAGGAAGG